TCGAGTGCAATGTCGGCATGCAAGACTTCGGTCTGGAACCAAGTCTCTGTGATAGAAATTACATCCGGCTGCGTATCTGCTATCCACACTGTCAGCTTACCTAACTTCTGGAATAAACTCTGAGCATTTGCATAAAGAAAGCGGAGCTCAGCCCGGGCAGATTCCCGAACGATTTTTGGGTAACAGTTGTTGAATATTTCGTGCGAGTTTTCGGGTCTATCGTCCCCTTCCGAGTCTACTGATGTTTGATTGGACTGGGTGTCAGTGTGTTGGCCGTCGTTTTCTCTTATCGATTTGTCAGGTAGGAGAGTTCTTTCCTTATTATCTGGTTGTTCATTATGCTCAGTGTTATTGGTTGTCTCCAGAGGAATGAGCTCCGAACATTGACGATTTTCCCATTGAATATTCTTATGTTCCTCTCGCCGGAATTGTATCTTCTGAGGGGTTCGACCTTGAGTTCTCTCCCTTTCTTCCGTTCGGCCGGTGAGAAATCTCGTTGGAAAAAAAATTGTTAGGGGGACATCTCGCAGTGCTGGTTTCCTGTTCAGCAGTAATAGAGCTTGTTCCTCACTTTCAAGAATAATTTGTAATGGACTATGATGGCCCGACTCACCCTTCAAATCCTTAATTGGTCCTATTCTGAGAGCTTTGAAGACGGTGATGTTCTCGTTCTCTTGTACTAGGGATTTGAGGTATTGCTGGAATAATTCTATATCGTGGATTATTCTGTTATTGGGGATGTCTGAAGAAGACTCAGGCATGCCTTTTACGATGATGCATTTATTGCGATCAATAGGGTGCTGTCGTTTATTTTTAAACGCACAGTCTGCATCGCGAAAATTTTTGTTGTCATCAATTTCCACTTCAGAGACAGTTTTCCTGGTATAGCTACCGCAGGGTTCCTTGTTTATCGAGGCTTCTTGGTCATGTGGTACCTCTTGTGGCAGTAAGGCATTTTCTTGCATTCTGTGTGGACTCTGCTCTCTCCGGTTGACGCTCTGACATACTTGGTCTTTTCGGGATGCGTTGAGACGTCTCCTGGTTTTTTGGGGTGCCCTTCGGTTATTTTTCGCTCGCACATGAGACGGGGTCTCGGTTGTGATTGGGTCCGTAGACGGGCTTTCTTCTTCTTCAGGAGCCAATACAGTTACTGAAGTTGCATTGGCCATTTTTCTGGTCAGCTTCTGACTTCCGACATCGCCATCTTTCTCCTTTCGAGTGAACAGTGAGGAGGTTTTATCAGCTTCTCCATCTCAATTCTTAGATTCCTTATATCCTTTTTCATCTCCAAGATTTTCTGGAGAAGTCCAATACATGACGCGCAGATTTCGTCCTCGTATTTAACATCCAATAAAGTTATTAGACTCCTTGCGCGTTTGGCGGGAGGTGATTTGACAGCAGAAGAATTGTCGCAGTAGTCATTTACACAGCGTCTTTCGGTCATTTGATCATTTGTGTCAAGCTGCCTATACGCGTCAATGGCGTAGTGGTAGCGACAATTTCAGCGTCACTCTCGTGCCAGGTTCGATCCCGTCCCGAAGCGGACTTTCTGCCTAGTGTCCGGAGGACCCTGAATCGACTACCGTTATTAAGTCAGTAAACTTGAAACGTTTTTAACGGTATGGAAAAAATTTTAAGCGAGACCAACGGTATGAAGTAAATAGCAAACAAATCAGCCCTTTCTTGTATTTGGAGAATATCGCGGTGCGGTTTTCAGAGATGTAGTCGGAAAGAGATAGGTTTTCCGGACGAAACTCCCGTTGCAATTCTGAGAGAATCAATGTATTGCTATGAAGAATCGACTTCTTGAATCCGACAGGCCGTACGGGTGTCCAGCACTCAGGAGACTCGGAAAAGGTAAATCCCTCGGAGGTCGAAAAATTCAAACCGAATTCAAAAGACGCGATATTTCGTCTCTCAAGATATCCTGAATTATAAACGGGGCAGGGTATAAGAGACTAACTGCTTCCATATGGGATGTTAACAGGTATGTGATCCAGCCGAATGCCCTAATATAATTGTTCATGGAGTCCTTGTCAAGTTTTTTGGAATTAATTCTGATGTTACTAAAATCGGTGCTAGTTTTTTTCTTCATGAGTAGCATCGATAGTATTGCATTCTGATCACTCTCAAAGGTTACGAAGTTGTAGTGCATAAAAGAGGGGGCCAGATGTCGTTGGTGGAAATAACGTCTAGTTTGTTGTTTCCTCGAGTAAGTTTATCGAATATTTGTGCCAATTTATGAATGATAATGGAAGATAACAATTCAGCGGGCCTAGTGGGTGCTGATAATTCGACTCAGTATATTTCTGGGCGGTTCAGGTCACCCACAACTGTCTTTTACTCAGTTTTGATGTTGGATATATTGTCTATTAGATGGTTGAGGCCTGTGTCATCATTATTACATTCTGGAGGGGAGTAGAGGCATCCAACTACTGCAGCAAAGCCTGCTTCACCAGAGAGGGCTTTGATCGTAACATCAAGATCACTTTGTTCAATGGTAGTTTTGATGTAGATCAGACAACCTCCGCCTCGTTTTCTAACCGGATCCTGTCGATAGAAATTATAATTTAGGATATATAGCGAAGCCTCCGATATTAGATCATTTGCCCACGCTTCCATGGTACAAATTATATCGGGGTCATATATTTCAACGATATTTCATCCTGCAAACCACCATGATTAACCCAACGCATGCCCCGTCGACTAGCGTGTCCACCATCAGCAGCTCCACCGCTGCCACCACCTCCGAAACCGACACGGTCACTGTCGACTTTTCTTGTCAGCACTGTCCCCGCATCAACACTGTCACGCATCGGCCTGGTCGGTCACTTGCGAATCTATCGCACAGAGACTGGAAAGCCAGTACCTGGAGCATCCGCATGCATTCGCCACATCCGTCTCAACTGGCCTCACTGTGTCCAAACATTCACTCACCGCATGTTCCTATTAGGCCACGAGCGCATTTGCGAAAGTCTGCGGTAGAAGAACGTCAGTTAAACCACATCATCACATCTTCCCCATCTCCATCACGCAACATCATCAACCACCACAAGCATCTAACCGCCACTTCTCACGTAAATGGGAAAGGTGCGTCTGGGCTCCGTCTCCATGCGACCCCTCTACTGCATGTATGATCCGAGTCCGAGGCTTTCACGGTGCGTCAAGCACCGCGGCTTGGAGGGCGTAAAGCGCCAAAGCTTTGGTAAAAGGAAAGGTTTTGTTCTGCAGTCTCATGGCTTTTTCTTGGTCAGGTTGATGATAGGCGTCATTTAAAAGATCAGCTAGGTCACATTAGTCTTCATGGAGCCGCCTTTCTAATTTCTAACACCCATAATGTCTACTGAACAGCGACTTCAAGAAACCGTATAAAGACTTCGAATTCTCAACTGCGTCCTCAGAGGAAACATCAACTGGCTTCTTTAGTAAAATTAATTTTACGCACTGGTTATCTCCTCGCAGACCCAACTTAGAAAGTGTGAATTTCCCTTCCTCTTTGTCTTCAATCTATGAGACGTCCTCTACAAAGAGCAATGTCAATTTTCGGCATCACACTTCAAAATTTATGTCGATTTCGGGATCGTACATAAATTCTATGATACGCTCTTCGAGTTCTTTCCTCTTGTTCTTGCCGATCGGAGTCGGATTCTTCAGCATTTCTGACGAAAAAGTTGCGCAACTGGCCCGTTGTGCGTCTAGAAGCTGTTTCCTTTGTTCTGCTTTAAACCTAATCCCGGACGTCTGCGTCGTTATCTTCTTCTGCCTTGAGGGATTTGGTCGAATAGAAGGAAGGCGGGTTCTGAGGAAAAACACTGTATCCTCACAACCTGCGAACACACAGTCTTTAACTCCTTAAAAGACGCCCTATTTATTTGGCTCTCTGGGCGTTATAGCAGATCCGGGCCCATGGCGTGTCGGTTGTGGGATTGGCTGTTGAGTGTCCGAGAATCCTAAACAAACACCAGAGAGCATCGCCGCGCGGTTTGAATTTTGAGTTGCAAGACGGAAGTTTTTAAATCGAGTCTCTTCGCTGAAAACGACTGTCCTTCACCAAAACGTGGATTATAAAACGCCTATCTGACAACGATCCTCCAGCTATCGCCATCTATACTCCTATCGTTCGATCAGAACAAACTTCAGCAAAAAACGGTCTATCTGTCGGAAATCTCGGCTTGTCTACAGGGCCTACCCATCCAATACACCGTCTCAAATTGCTCACCGAAGTTAGGAGCAACATCTACGATAAGGCTGAGTCGATATTTCTACACTGCTTGCCGTGCTGCTTAAATTCGGACAACTCGAGTTGTCTCACTTTACCATAGATTTACCTGAAAAAAGCGTTCCCTGGAAATTTTCGGCGTATCCAGCATAAGCATAGGCACTGTCCACAGTTGCGCCTTAAGAAATAGCTTGTTATTCCTGCAGATTTGTCCGTTTTGCATAAGTCCACTACATAATGAAGATTTGCGCAGCCACACGAAATATCGCGCTGCATGACGGAGTCGAACCACCGACCATCGACATCTCATTCGCGCACGCTAACCCCTCGGCCACCGCGGCACGACGGCGGGCGATGTCGCAAAGTTTACTTGATAGTAAATGCGTGCCGCATACCGATCGATTTTGCAGTGGATGCGAGATATTGGCCGGCAAAATCAACCGCCTTGAGGAAGAGATGGAAAAGATGAAAACCCTTCTACAAGGTAAACTAGACACACTTGACGATGCGAATGTACCTGTTGGACGAATAACTAGAAGTAGGGCCAAAGGACGTCGCACAAAAAATACGCCATCAACACCTTCTGCAGCTGTCACGGCACACCCAGCACAAACACATAAAATACAAGACGACAACAACCAGCGAAGCAACGATAAAAAACCAGAGGAAAAAAAGAAATCGTGCAGCAAAAAGGTCGAAGGACATGAACAGCAGATTCCGAGGAATGCCTCCGAAGAACCGGAACCAGGGACGTCGGCGTCCGTGCCGCCCATCACGGGAAATGACATGGGTCCTAAAACCCTCAACCTATCGCAAAAAAACTTCCGACTTTGATGAAAATGCCAACAAAACAGAGACGAATGAGGATATTAATCGACTGCAGCTTATATCCTCGTCAGATCATGGCAACCACATATTGCCTATGTCGGAGCACGAAACCACTGTGTTCTCGAGAGTGTCGCCGGTCAGAGGACAATGTCTGATTATTCAGGGACTTCCCGAATCCACAGCTGGTGCCTCCAAAGAGCGGGTCTCGGCAGCCCTGAAACTCTTCCAATGCCTACTCAACGAACTTCTGCGCCCCAATGAGGAAGTTTCGGTTCTCAAGGCCTTTAGGCTTGGAAAGCGCTCAATCGATATATCAGAGCACTCACGTCCCCGACCACTCAAGATTGTGTTAGCCAACCAAGAACAAGTAGGACTTATTCTCTCACGACGTTTCCGAATCAAAGACACCAACCGCGGCGTTTTTTTTCAGCCGGACAACACACCGGCAGAGAGAATAAAACGTCGACAATTAGTTCTGGAACTGAGAACAAGGTTGCAGAATGGCGAGACGGATCTTGTGATCTACAACAACCAGATAGTGCAGCGCCCTCCCCTAATCCGTTGGACCGAACCGATCCGGATGAGGGCACAGTAGCTTCCTTAAATGGGATCACAAGCGGCACCATAATCAAACGCCCCAAAACTCTGAAACTAACATTTTTTTACACCAACGTGCAGAGTATATTGCCCAAGTTAGACGAACTGAAGATCCACATCTGTGACCTTTCCCCTGACATTGTCTCTTTGACAGAAACCTGGCTGTCTGAAAACGTGGATGACCGCGAATTAATGCTACCAGGATTTCAGCTGTTTCGAAGAGACAGGAGAGAGCGTCAGGGAGGAGGAGTCGTCACGTACGTAAAACACGGCCTGCTTGTGTCAGAAAAAACAGAACAGTTTGCCTGCAGCACCGAGACTATCTGGCTCAATATAAGGGTACCAGGATCACATAGCCTTGAAGTTCTGACCGTCTATCGACCACCGAGGAGTGACCCCGAGGCTGACGCTCGTCTGTTAGAGGAGCTAGGACGATTTGCTCTCCGGCCTGACGTCCTAATCATGGGCGACTTCAATGCACCGCTCATTGATTGGAGTTCACTATACGCGCGCGGCCCAGAACTAGCTTTCGACCGAGGCTTCTTGGACTTGGCACTCAGGTCATTTCTCACACAGCACGTCCTATTTCCCACGAGGGTCCGTGAGGGGCAGCAGTCAAACTGCTTGGACCTGGTGCTCACGAAATCGATGGACAGCATAGATGAGGTACAATGTCTGCCTCCCTTAGGTCGAAGCGATCACGTTGTACTTCAATGGGACTATTCAATCTTTTCCGTGCCTGAACAGCCCACCAAAATTAGAAGAAATATTTGGCGTGGGGACTTCGATCAAATGAAGGCCGAAATCAACAATACGGACTGGGAATCAGCGTTTTCCGGAAATATAGAGGAGGATTGGAAATGGTTCAGTGAATTATTGCATGCTCTCCTGACAAACCACTGCCCGCTTTCACGGAAGGGGCTAAACAAACGACCCCGGTGGCTGACCCAGGCGTTAAAAAAGGAAATAAATAAAAAACGGAGATTGTGGCAGAAATCTCTTACTGATGGGACTCCATTATCCATAAACGCATACAAAATACAGAGGAACTTAGTCAAGCGGCTGACCCTCAGGACACGGCAAAATTTTGAAAAAGACCTATTGAATCGTGCTATGGAAAATCCAAAATTATTCTACAGCTACATAAGAAGCAGCACACGAAACAGAGATTCAATCCCCCTCCTGAAGGCTAGCGGAGACGTAGAGATTAGTGAGGATGGAGAAAAAGCTGAGCACTTTTCACAATTTTTCAAATCCATCTTTACTAGTGAAAGTCCATTTACTCCCCACGACTACGACTTCGATGAGGGTCCAAAAATCGAGTCTGTGTCTTTTGATGAAGCGACGGTTCGCAAAGAGCTAATGACGCTAAATGAGTCGAAATCACCAGGTCCAGACGACATACCGCCTAAGTTACTGAAGGAGCTCGCTGCCGAACTAGCCAAACCATTGTCCATGCTTTTCCAAGCCTCGTTCTAAGCCGGCGGCTTGCCCGCCGACTGGAAATCTGCGCGGATCACACCACTGCATAAAGGAGGCAGCAAGGCCTCTGCAAACAATTACAGGCCAATTAGCCTCACTTCCATCTGCTGCAAACTCATGGAGAAAATAATCAAGCGAGAGCTGATGCGCTTCCTAGAGCAGCATAATTTATTATCTGATGCGCAGCATGGGTTTCGTAGTGGCAGGTCTTGCGTGACAAACCTGCTCAACTGTTTGGAACGTTGGACTCGGTCAGTTGATGAAGGCAGTGCGCTGCATGTAGTCTATATCGACTTTAAAAAGGCATTTGATAGTGTCCCACATCAGCGACTCCTGCACAAACTGAGCCGAACAGGCGTTAGGGGTAACCTCTTAAAATGGATTCAAAGTTTCCTGTTAGACCGTTGTCAAACTGTCCATGTCGGTGGCCAGAAGTCGACGGAGGTTGCCGTTGAAAGCGGTGTTCCCCAAGGCTCAGTTCTTGGCCCTACTTTGTTCATCATTTACGTCAACGATTGCGTGAGTGAACTATATTGTGGTGTCGCCATGTTTGCGGATGACATTAAGCTCTGGAGCGTCATTCGAACTGCAGATGACGAAGAGCATCTGCAGGCGAACCTAAATCGACTCCAACAGTGGTCAAAGGCCTGGCTTCTGCCGTTCAACGAGAAAAAGTGTAATATTCTACGAGTCGGCAGAGCTCGCTCTCCGAACCATATGGCCTACTGCCTAAATGGTATACCACTGCAAGAAGTGGACTCGCAGAAGGACGTGGGAGTATGGATTACGACCTCGCTCAAACCCTCGCTGCACTGCACGAAGATAGCCAAGTCTGCAATGTCAGTCCTCTACCTTGTCAAGCGGGCTTTCTCTGCCTTTGACGAAGACTGCTTCGCTAAAGTCTTTCGAACTTTTGTGCGTCCGCAACTAGAATTTGCTATCCAAGCTTGGAGACCCTGGACCGCGAAGGACCTCAGCATCCTTGAAAGGGTTCAAAGGCGTGCAACGAAACTTGTGGCAGGACAGGGTTCACTACCATATGCAACGCGGTTAGCTAACCTTTATCTCTTTCCCTTGAGTTACAGGCAGTTACGGGGTGACCTGATACAAGTCTTCCGTATCATACGCGGTCAGGACTGCAGCCTCGTACCGGGTGACTTCTTCGAGTTAGCAACCACCACAAATCTACGAGGCCATCCACTCAAACTACGTGTGACAGGGGCCAGACTGGACACACGAAAGTTCTTCTTCTCCAACAGAGTGGTAGAAGCCTGGAATGCCCTGCCTGTGGATGTCGTTATGTCTGCTTCCGTCGAGGTTTTTAAGAGGAAGCTGGATTTGTGTAGCACTGTGCACTAAATTACCACCCCGATCTCTGTAACATCGACAAATTCCGCTATTATAATACTACTTGCTATATTTCAGTAACATTTTAAATTGAACTTATTATTGTACCAACCCATCGCCTACGCTTACTGACATGCACATATGCAAATTTTGTCCCCGGACATATTATTTATTTCGCTGCACTCGAAACGACAGCTCTACAACTGCTCGTACCACTAAAATTCGAGACAGTTTGTTTGTCTGTACAGACATGACGCTTTTCCGATTATTTGTTACTTTATGATACCTTTTCGAGTTTTTGAGATTTTGCTTGCTTGTAAACAAATAGGGAGTTCAAAGGTGAAGACCTACATTTCCCTCAATAAACTGAACTGAACTCAAAAGGTTGCTGAGGCGAGACACAAGGAGCACTAGTATATGAGGTGCATAACCAACCTGAATCTCTGTCCTTTGAATCATAGGTGATTGCGCAGGGACTTGATACAGACTGTCCCTATCATACATGTTTTGGACGGTATACTCGTCCAACTCGCCACATAAAACCTCCGAGAGTATAATTTCAAACTACGTGTGACTACGAACGGACTGTGACCGATCGCGTCCGGCTTCCTCTCGTCTCGCTACGTTGACACAAATAGCCTCATTCGGTGTATGAATTCTGCCCTGACGATGTCCGTTTTGAGTCCCTTATAGTATACCACATCCAGGCCAGTCCTGTCTGACCCACATACTTAGCCCCTCATGGATGACACTTTTTTCTGCTCTGACGATGTCTGTTTATAATCCGTTATATACTGCCACATGCAGGCGGGGCCTGCCGCATTTTTGTCCTTTCATGGGCGACAGTTTTTTCTCGTTTAAAATTAGTCCGATCATTTTGCTTATTCTAAAATGGCGTTTTTTCACTGCACGCTCATCATTTTTCTTAACGGAATATTTATTTAATAACTATGTATTGCGTATTGTACAGATTCTGTCTACCCCTTCCAAGATTTATGTGAACATTTATTTTCACTTGCCATGAAGGCACACCGAATAATCTTTAAGAAAGAATAAAGAAGATTGGATCTGAGAAGGTATTTTTGTCCTTTTTTGAATGACCTATCCAAGACGATTGCAATACCTCAGTCTTTAGAGACGTTCCAGCGTCGCATTTGCAGACATCTGCTGCAGCAAAGATCGGACGGAGCGACTCCATGACCTCAAAAATAAATGCGATTATGTGGAACTATGTCAATTCTGCAATTTCTATTTTATTTTTACTTATATTGTTGATAATCCGTTCGATTCGCACGTGACAAATAGAGAGTGCAAAGGCGTAAGCCTTCTCCCCTCAACTGTACTGAAGTGAAACGTTCCAAAGGGACAATACCTACGCGGATATGCTTCATCAGCATTGGCCAACTGTGGATAAGGACAAAGTGCATTCATATTGACCCAACTACGAAAAACTCGACGCCTATGTAGGATTCGAACCCACGACAGACAGAGTGCCCCCGAACACATCCCAACCTAGAAGCCCTCTCTTTCGAAGGAAATACATAACCAATTTATGCGTTTTGCGTGTACCATCTTTTTCGGGTGACAAATTCACATACACTATTACACAGCGAACCACTGCGCATTTACTGCAAAGCACAGCATAGGAGCGTTCTAGCATCGATTGAGCGCTTTTACTCTGCTCAAAAGACGAGGAGAGATTCTAAATAAAGGTTTCTATTGTAATTAAGCCCCGGGTGCACTAATTGCAGGTATTTTCGTCATCAATAGTGGCATATTTGGTAGTTTGTTTTAAGTATAAGCCGTCTTAAATGACGTAGAAATAGTGGGGTTAAAAAAGCTATAACATACAAGGAAAAGTGTTTTGAGTTTCCAGATCTGGCTGTCTGAGCTGGTAAAACTGAATGTCTGAAGACGTGCTTTGGTTCGGGACATGCTGCCCAAACCACGGACTCCCGACCAACTTGATTTTATCCCCGACTGAAAGAAAAACACTTTGCCTATTGATGATGCAAGAAGTTGTATCGATTTTTAAGCGTTAGAGGGCAAGTTTTAAAACTTCTAAGATGATCGCCGTAGAATTGGATCTGGCGACCAGAAAAGATCTTTCTTTCAGGCGAACATTCATAAATAACCTGATATCGGCAATACAATGACAACTGGATGATAAGCGGCCAAAGGCCGCAAAACAGTCCGTCATTAACTGTAGGAAGCAGCGTTACCACTTACAAAAATAGCAACTTCGACCGGGAAAAATTATTTCCAGACTCTGTGTTCGTACAAAAAACCGGGCTACTAACTTGGCACATGGATGCCTCGACCGAAACCGCAGTATGGCTATAAAGACGGCTCCCGAGTTCGCATCGTCGAATTTAAACGAAAGGGTCAAACATAACCTTGGACTATTTCGGGAATATTTTGAGACTGTATACCGCTACCACGCGTCTGAACCCAGATGTGGAACTTACTAGTGCGTACCTCCGTCCTAAGGATTGGATCGAGGTCGAATAGACAGACCATGACTCAGCCTGATGGGTTGTCCGTCTGTCAGTTTCAGCGTAATTGTCAGTAATACTGCAATCTTTTGAAGTGCAGATAAGACGGATACCTTCCTTACGTAAATATTTCAGTAGAAACAATTGCACAGGCAAATTGCTTCTCACTATTTGTCTTTGAAGGACTGGTATGTACTGGGCCACCTGTTGAAATTCTACTCGTTGGTCTCGCCTTTTGGTCTCACCCACCCCCAAACGTTAGGACCTACGACTAAGATCTCAGCAGGTGCCACATTTCATCATGCTCCTCTGAAAACACACGACGGGAAGCAGTTAACACGTAAGATTGCTCTTACAGCTTGAACTTTGCATAGAATCTACTCATGCTGTCTGTAACTTAAAAGCTTGCAATATAATAAATCTTTTGTGTAAAGACTTTAAGATGAACCACCCCCAGGGTTGGGCTATGGCCTGTTCATCTTATCTTGGCTCAGCAGTGGGACGAGCGAGGAATATAAGTGCAGAGACGAATGATCGCTTTCCTTCAGAAAACGGCTTATAGAACCTTGTTCCAGTGATCGCATATTCGTCTTCAGAACTGCTACCTGAAACTCGCATGTTCGCTTCTATCAGCAATCTATTTTGACGCGATCCGCTCTGATCGACACGACGGTGGGAAACCTTTGCCCATCGAGAGTCGTCTACATATGCGCAGATTCGATTTCTGCACAGGTGTCTCGACAACACTGTGCTGCCGAAGTGTGTTTCATACAAACCTCCGGTCAACACAGAGCTGGTGAGACGCGCAGTAATTCAAAACGGTCCACGAATGGTCCGAGTGCTTCTTCAAGACTCTCACTCACGAATTCCCAAATACCGTCAGAGGATTGACCAAGAGAATGCAAGGCTGCTGATAAAAGTGAACCGGCGAGTTCCAGGTAGCAGTTCAGAAGATGAAGATGCGAACAATGGAACAAGAAATTTATTTGCCTGACGTTTCGCATCCTTACTCGAATCCGTCATCAGAGACATTAGCAGATAAAGGTGATGGTGGCATCAGGAGTCCAGTATCTATAGCACGTGGCTGCCGTGGGATCGCATGCGCACTGCAAGTAACAGTTTTCGCAATCACCACTGAGGTCGTAATTGATGCGGCGGCTTGTCGGTCCGAGCCCGAGTTGTTAATGGCCGCGATTTCTGATAGAAGCGAACAGGCGAGTTCCAGGTAGCAGTTCAGAAGATGAAGATGCGAACACCGGAACAAGAAATTTATTTGCCTGACGTTTCGGATCATTACTCGAATCCATCATCAGAGACATTAGCAGATAAAGGTGATTGTGGCACCAGGAGTGCAGTATTAATAGCACGTGGCTGCCGTGGGACCGCATGCGCACTGCCATTAACAGTTCTCGTAATCACCGCTGGGGCCTTAATTGGTGCGGTGGTGGCTTGTCGGTCCGAGTCCGAGTCGGTACTTGCCGCGATTTCGTCATCCGTGCTGGATGCTGGTGTGACGATTGCTCGGAAAACTGGCTCACTGTCACCGTGATGATTGCTCGCCCGCGTCCTCCCCACGTGACTGATTCTCCTGCCCAGGAAAATCGCAGTACGCTATAGGGTACCGGGAGGTCATTGTGCTTGTTGATGGATTGTGGGCCTGAGAACCATGACTCGAGCAGCTCGCGGTTCTTGCGGTTGTCACCCCTTGCGAGGATTTTGGCCTCTTGAAATTTGAAAATATGTCTGGTCCCGTCGAGTGTGCCGCCACCTGAGATCTAGCATCTCCCCGCCTCACTGCTGCTGCGTGCTCGGCAACTCGTGTCCGTGCCGAACATGCACAGGAACTGGCAGTCGAGACCATCGAACTACTCCTAGGAGAGAAATACGACGAAACAGAGAATTGCTTCGGACACGCCCAAATCATCCAGCTCAGGAAGTTCTGTCTCAAGACGTACTTTACTTTCGACGGAACAATCTACGAGCAGGTGAAGGGAACGCCAATGGATTCGCCGATTTCGGGACTCATAGCCGAGGCCGTCCTACAACGGCTGAAGTCGCTGGTTTTCCGACACCACAGACAGAAATTGTGGACTCAGTATGTGGATGACACCTTCGTCGTCATCGAATGGGAGCGGGTGCTGACATTCAAAGAACATCTCAACGCCATCTTCTCAGACATTCAATTCACGATGGAGGAGGAGGAGGAGGATGAGGAGGAGGAGGAGGAGGAGGAGGAAAACAATCAGCTGGCCTTCCTGCATCTTCCCGTCTACCGCAAAGTTTGTGGTGGCCTAAAAACCAAAGTGTTCAGGACAGCGCCAAATACAACGCGAATACTGAACTTCAATGACAACCACCCGGTCAGTCACAAACGCAATTGCGTAAGGGCGCTATACCGGCGCGTTGAGACGCACTGCAGTAAAATGGAAGACAAGGTTGCTGAACTACAATATCTTCGATGGATAATGAGAGCCAATGGTTACCCGCGCAACTTTGTCAACCAGTGCATACGAAAAGGACACCATAGACCAAATCCAACCGGCCCAAAATTTTGGCGGGCTCTTCCGTACATGAAGAACGTCTCGGAAGCCGTCAGTCGTCTTCTCACTCCACTTGGAGTTGGGGTTGCACAGAGGCCGGAAGCAACCATTAGGCGCCAAGTCATGAGGCCAAAAGACCCGCTGCCACGGCAGGAAACGTCTGGAGTCGTTTACCGGATCTGGTGTAGTTGCGGACAAAGCAATTATGTCGGAGAAACTGGGAGATTACTCCGTATGCGATTTGCCGAGCACGTTGCAGCAGTGAGGCGGAGAGATGCTAGCTCTCGGGTGGCGGCACACTCAACGGGACCCGGTCATATTTTCACATTTCAAGAGGACAAAATCCTCGCAAGGGGTGACAACCGCAAGAACCGCGAGCTGCTCGAGTCATGGTTCTCAGGCCCACAATCCATCAACAAGCACAATGACCTCCCGGTACCCTATAGCGTACTGCGATTTTCCCTGGGCATGAGAATCAGTCACGTGGGGAGGACGCGGGCGAGCAATTATCGCAGTGACAGTGAGCCAGTTTTCCGAGCAATCGTCACACCAGCATCCAGCACGGATGACGAAATCGCGGCAAGTACCGACTCGGACTCGGACCGACAAGCCACCACCGCATCAATTACGACCCCAGTGGTGATTGCGAAAACTGTTAATGGCAGTGTGCATACGGTCCCACGGCAGCCACGTGCTATAGATACTGCACGCCTTGTGCCACCATCACCTTTATCTGCTAATGTCTCTGATGCTGGATTCGAGTGAGAATCCGAAACGTTAGGCCGATAAATTTCTTGTTCCGGTGTTCGCATCTTCATCTTCTGAACTGCTACCTGGAACTCGCCCGTTCGCTTCTATCGGCAATCTTATTTTTCTACTCCTTCCCACCTTTTTGGACAAATTATGACCTCAAACAATTGTATGACTAACTTTTATTTTATATTATATTCACAGGCTGTTACTCGTCATAAATATAACGCAATTTTCTGAATGCTTGGTCATTTGAAACAGGTCGAAGTTTTCTTATAAATCCGACTGCTATGGATAATAAACCAGGTCTCACTGTTCAATAGTGTGTGAAGACTTATCAGAGATAGTGTAGCCATTGATTACGAGGATCGAGGGGCTTGTGCTTGTTAAATCATGAAGTCCAAAATGATTAGTTCTAGGCTACGTTCGTTTGTCCCATCGACAGCGATTGCATCGCAATCCAGGAAGGTACTAATTGATTTGCTGTTAAAAAGCTTGATTGGGTATGGACCAAAATTTTGTTTGTTTGTCTAGAATAACCATATCTTCCATAATTGACTTTCGGTTCGCTGCCGTTAATAGAGGATAAACAACGTTTTTTTCTTTTCTTCATGTGGATGTCAATATTTCCTTCCGATTTGCGAGCATCATTTTATTTGGCTTCTAACAAAGGCCCTAGAATATGAGCAGCATGCATCTTTCGTCCTGAGAATGGCGTCACTTCCGCGTCACATATGTTTAGAGTATACATTACACCTCACAAAACCCTGACCAAAATCAATAGATACCCATCACATACAAGAATATATTGCGATGATGTTGCAACTAGCGTCCGCACACGATATAATGCCAATAGACTTAAAACCTGCAGGCATTATTACTTTTTACGTGTGACTATACAAAAGTGACTAAATTATACTGGGAAACAAAACGCAAATTATGTAGTTTCTACTTACTCCGTTAGGTTTCGAGGTGTTTACTACTGCCCCCATATTCACCAGAAGGAATCTATTACAATTTTATCACTCACACTTTTATACGGAATTTTTTAAAGCTCTGGATATTTAAATGTTTTGACACGTTCCAAATGTCATTCAAACAGCCTATTTTGCTCAGATTTATTACTTCTTATCATAACGCGTAAAATTCGGTCAGATTTTATTGCAGAGCAGTCTGAGTCCCCTAGGATGTCCTCCAAAGATTTTGAGTGATGGGCGAATTCAGACTAGGAAAGAAGAAAATATCATTTTGAAACCTTGCAAGCAAATGGAAACTCAGGTTGTGTTTAACAATATCCATATATTAATAACTTATTTGAAAACAGAACGGCGATGACCAAACATGCGAGGACAAGTTTAGATCACTGTAAGGCAGCTACCTGTTCGGTTAGAGCAGGCATATTATATAAGGGTCGCGTTTCCAGATAAGTTTGGGAAGATAGTTTAATTTATGACAAATGTTGAGGTCGGGTTCAAGAAATGAGTCAGGCTAGAGACTAGAGTCAGGGTCAAAGTTATGTTTGCTTGACGCATACCGTCTTTCCGAATCCAGCCTTCTTCGACCAATAACCTTGAACTAACTGCTTTTCGACCATTTACATGTAGTTAGTTCACATATTTCAAATGGTATAATCTGTTCCGGTACCTTTTTGAAGTAGTATAGCCAACACATAGGATAGATGCGAGTTTCCTCAAGGCCTTTCGCATATTTCCTTAATTGTCGCATCTATCTGCCCTACTAAAAAAACTGCAACACAGATTCCTGCCGTACTACAAGAGTCCCTTAGCTTTATTCTGTCAATGGGCTTACATATCCAGTCCTCGCCAGCACGCGTCTCCCATCCATTCTATGCCAGATTTGAAGAAGACGCAATTTGTTGTAGAACGGGCAGTTAACATTGTTCCTGAGGAATCGACTAATTTTACGTCGGTAACAAAAATTCAGAAAATTGTTTGCATCATCAAAATTTTTTATGTTCACTTGCGACTGTCACAGATGACTGGAAAGAGGCCCTTTTCGATCAGACGCATGACCTCATTTAGGTACTTTATTCGGCTTTAAACGATTTTGAGAAACTCCTGACAAATGTGATTGGGTCGTAATGCATACAGTGAGTGACCTATCTCATGAAATGTTGACTGAAATTCTGAAAGGTGTTTTCGATTAGGAAGGATTACTTAGGCGCGGTTGTAATACTAATTATCTTGCGGCATAATCGTATAGTATTTCGGACTGGGCAGGATGTCGGCTTTTAAACACACTGCTTTTTAATCTCTTGTAAAGAACTTACTCGGTAAAAAAGGACTACTTAAGTAGCATGCATTTTTCCCATTGATTTTCGATGGTATTGCGAATTCAAATATATCTTATAGAAACCATAAACAAAAATACGCTTTCTTTCAGACAATTAATAGAGTATTACGTCTTCTTTATATTTTTTATTCAAGGAAGGAGTATAATTGGGTTTTAAAAAAGTTTCTAATTATGGGATTTTTTAAGACCGCGCAATGTCCATTCATATATCATCGTGCCTGGCCGATTATGACAGCTCCTCGTGAAATGTACAACATAGTCCGGATCCATTGCAAAATTTTATAAACTCTATATGGTATCTTCCTAAAGGCATAGAGGAATATGTGATTTTCCTTACGTTGAAAGCATGCACCTTGTAAACTTAAATCGCTAAACGCTAAATGCAATGGCAGATCCGGCTCAAAAATATTCGGGAATTGGAACATTTTTTTAAAACCTAATTATACACCTTCCTTGAATAAAAAAATATAAAGAAGACGTAATTCTATATTAAGTGTCTGAAAGAAAGCTTATTCTTGTTTATGGTTTCTATAAGATATATTTGAATTTGCAATACCATCGAAAATCAATGGGAAAAATGCATGCTACTTAAGTAGTCCTTTTTTACCGAGTACGTTCTTTACAAGAGATTAAAAAGCAGTGTGTTTAAAAGCCGACATCCTGCCCAGTCCGAAATACTATACGATTATGCCGCAAGATAAGTAGTATTACAACCGCGCCTAAGTAATCCTTCCTAATCGAAAACACCTTTCAGAATTTCAGTCAACATTTCATGAGATAGGTCACTCATTGTATATTAGTCAAACCCTGATCACTCCGCTCTCTGCCTTCAATTGCGAAGTCAAAAAATTAATGCTGATCACGTACTCATCACTGATATTTATTATTTTAAAGGCAAGTTGTAAGGGTGAAGTGTTGCATCCGACATTTTTTCCTCAGAACTAGCATACACACATATCACATCAGGTCATTATTCTTACGTGTTCCGTAGTAGGTAGACTGTAGTCTGGCCAAATGAACTCAGCAGTCAGCAGTCGCGCAAAAATGAGGTTACTTGGGGCTACGGACTTATATTTTTTGCGTTATTTCGTGGATATTTTCAGTCACCAGTCTACTTGAGCCTTTTTGAGAGTTTCGTATCGCATGTCGAGGAATGCGTGAGCATACGAATGACTAGCAGGAGTTTCTTGGCTCGTTTTTTACGTTGTATAGCTCACATTAAAGTATGTCTTGTTCGTTTTCTTTTTTAAACCTGTAATAGATATAGCAAACTCTAAATGGAAGTTGTAATGGTATTACGACTATTCTTGGCGTCATTGATTTCTATAACGGATTATATTTAATTTGCAAATTTGGAATGCGTGCGCAGGCTTCATAACAAGACGTGCTGATACAGATCATTTTATATTTGCAATGGGTGTCTTAGCAGCAATGACGAAGTCAGTTTTTATATATGTAAAGCATTGTCGATGGAAAAAAGGTGGACTTTTTGCCAAATATTAGTAGAAATTACATGCTGCTCATGCAGTCAGCTCTTGATAATTATTTGCTTTATCTCCTCGTGTGTCAGAAGTCGAAGATCGGCCCCAGAGTCATCTGATATGGCTCCTGCGTCCGTGCTGAAATGTTAAAATGTTTGTGTTGACTGTTCACTGGGAAGAATAATATTATTCGATTTATTCAGTTACAAACCACTACCGTAAGAGATAGCAATAGACGATTTGAAAATGTGCTGTTCACAGGGCCGGGAGAACTGTTAGTTCTCTGCCGAACAAATCTCTTTTAGAGATGCAATATGACAGAAGAGCAACTACTTGCGGCCACGTCGAGAATACAGGAAATGTTTCGTCGCTCAGGAACAGGTGAGTAACTGGGACAGCGTCGTGCCCGGAAGTCCATCAAAACAAGGACTGTGATTGATGGAACCTTCGACAGAAATCATTGAAATAACCTTCAGAAGAAATGCACACGTCTCGTGATATAGGAAGATTTGACCACCGACGGTTTCAAAAAGGGACCTTTGGGGTTCGGCCCCCATTTGAACGGAATCAGAACATTTAAATATTTGTAGCTACAGCAAAAGACCCTATTAGTAGCAAACTGTAAAGCTGACAGCAACATGCAGATAGCAGAGAACATTGCTTCTTCATCAAACGTCGGTGCTAAATAAATCTCAAGTACTTGTTTAGTTGATTTTCTCCTGACTCATGACCAAACTGTGAGAAACTAAGATCATCGGCAGATCATTTGCCCCATCTTAACTTTTTGTCATTATCTTTACCAAGCAGTCAGGCAAAATGTCATTTGGTATGTCCCCTGATATGATTTCTAAGCCGATCATGGCAGAAACATACTCCCGGATCAGGCGTGTTTTTCGTTTTTTTTTCTGTCAATACTTTTGCACCCCCATTCAGCCAAATTCATATGTTCCATCGAAATTTGGGTCACATTTCTTGTATGTGCCCAGAGTGGTGGGTAGGACTTTGTGCCCCAAAACGGGCTACGTTATAAATACGCTGGACCAACAAGGGGGTTATATCGGAGTGCGCACCATAACAATTGCCAACATGTGGGGGGGGGGGGTGCGGCGGCAGTCCCAGTTGCCGGCATTGGCCGCGCACATTGGGGCCCCTGCCGTCCCCATTGTTGTTGTTGGTTTAAATCCTAGTCATTTGCTATATGGAGCGGGGGGTGTAGATTGGAGCGCCACGATGTGGGCTTGGCCGTGGCATCCACCTGCGTCCTCTCCCGCCTCCAGTCTTCTTGAATCTGTCTTGACACCGGCTCCAGGTGGGGGAGGAGTAGAGAGAGTGACAGATGCTATGGATGCAATGGTGGACATCGTCAGGAACGACGGTCGAACTGCCGGTTAGGACCTGTTTTGGTAGGTTAACATTTCATGCATAAAGTGGACGATTGAGCTATGTTATCCAGAACGTTAAATGAAATGGGCGCTGGGTAAGACGGCATTATGCTTAAACACTCACCGCGCAGACGGGACAGAAAACGTGTAGGTCTTCTGGTTAGGGGACGTTTCGTTTTCGGAAACTTGTGAGCTCTCAGGATCACTTGTCTTCTGAAAAAGGAAGCATTAGAATATCTATCTTATTTTTTGTGGTTTTTATGAAATAGTTCATACTTCCGAAAAGGCAATGACAGTGAGGAAACGCACGCCAAAATATTGGGTGTACTACAAAGTATCCACCAATACATCCCGCGAATCAGTTCTAGGCAAGGGGTTTTAGTCAATAATGGATCAACTGCAACCCATGCTTGCAAATTACAAAAGCCGTTTGAAAGAGAGTAGTCGGCGTAAAGTCCGCGGAATTTGTTCTCAGAAAAGTATAAAGTAAAGTATTTTGCCATCACAATACAGTTTAAATGCTGTCAATTTCTATGAGCATGCCATTTTTACCAATCAGGAGAATGTCCTGCAGATAAAAAGGGAACAATCAATTTGGGTCTTAACTTCGATTTTCTTTAATAAGAAATGAATTTATAAATGTATGCCTACGGAAGGCTAAATGATCCACAGACATATCTACCTATTCGTATTGGTGCTTGCATCTTTCGCTTCCATAATATCAAGAAAAGGACCGTCTCATTCAGCGCAAGTCGTTTTATACGTTTTTAACTGGACAGTTTTCCTCTGCATTCTTCTGTGTAAGACAACTACTATCTGAAACTTTTAAAAATGTTCCTGTTAAGTCATTTACATAGCACAATCCACCATATTTAGTTATTTCTGAAGCAAATTCCAACTAAAATCTTAAAACCCCCACTTCGTTCTTATAATGGTGAGTCATAGTTGCATGTACCTCGACATTTTAATCGAAACGTGTCCCACTTACGTTCTTTCCTCGAAGACTTCTCAACTTTAGCAAGTCATCAACTCTGTTTTCCACAGCGGTTAGATATATCAGTAAATTTTCCTGACTTATTTTGATCTCAGAGGGCAGAAGTGGATCGGTAACAGCCTCCAATGGACACTGAGCAGCACGAAAGAGACCTTCGACCTCCGTTAGAATTACTTTTAGTTCAGCGCGAACGACCTGAAGACTCTGTTCTGCATTTTCTCTCGCTTTCTTTGATGAGATATATTCTTTCTGTAAGTGCAAATTATTCAAAACGGTGAATTTCACCGACATTTATTTCAAGAGAACGTTGCACAAAGGAAGAGTTAGGGCCTGTGTTTTTTATTTCGTTAAATGGACCCGCAAATCCCTTTTAACCCATTAAATACAACATTTCACTTCTAGTATTTATAAACCTGCAGCGTGCATTGAAAATAGTACGAATTTGCTAACAGTGACCTCATCGTTGGTGACCGATTTTAAAATAAGATATTTCGTTTGTAGAAAGGTGCAAAGGTGTATTCAATGACGCCGTCTATTATCATTAGCACATAAAAGTGTGGTTTGTTGCGCCAAGCAACGAAAAAGGAACAATTTGCAAATTCTCAGTCATCTATAACAAGCAAAATCCTGCGTAGAAAAAGACGTCTGGTGGGTTGAAAACTATTTTACTATCAGGAAGTCTAAAGCAAATCCATTTCTAATGATCAAAACAGAAGATGGTGGGCTTTTGCTTTCGGACACTTAGAAAATTGTTTACATTACGGCGACCACACTGTAAACCTAACAGTACTACTTTTCTGCCGGAATTTTCGAAACTGTAAAACGGTTGCGTAAAGTCAGGGTGCTTACCACCTAAAGAGAGAATAAGCGGTGAGCAAATTTGAAACATCATTCTTCAGCGTTCTTTCTCTTCCACACCATGCACTGACCCATGAACGCTGGTAAAACGTGCTGAACTGACGACCCCACCGATTATTATGATTGCCCCCAATATAAACGTGCATTAATTCTGACAGCCTCTGCCATCCTTAATCAACACAGACTAGGGCGCAGAACATGCAAAGCATAGCATTGCAAACACAAGGTTGAGCGCCATTAATGACCAGCTAGAAATGGATTTCTCATTCCAGTGTCCTCTGTTGCTTTCTGCTAGCTGGTATTGGAATTTCGTTTTGTCATAAAAAGACTTAAAAACATTTATAGCACCGCTTCTATCGGTTATGGTAATCGGATGCTCCGTAGATTGCACCTAGGTTAGTGAATTATGTGTCATTCTGGCAGTAGGTGGGTGTTCAGCTTAGCATGCATTTATCTAGTAATATGGAAAAATGGCACCCGAAAAAATATGCAAAGTTTACATTATGACAAAGGGCAAACGCGCAAGACGTCTTTGGTAATTTTACTTTTTCTTATTGTAAGATGTTTTCTTTAAAGCAACTGCCTACAGAAAGAGCATTTTAATGTTTTTTTTCGGAAGCATGCGAAATTACAACTTTCAATTTGTACAGAACTATTGTATCAAGTATAAGAGTAGCTTCATCTTCTGTTTCGCCATGATTTTAGCTTGAAGGATACAAAAGTATAGCATAGTCTCAAAAATTATAAAATGAATGCCTGCAATAGTAAGGCTTATTTTGTCATCATTTTAGCTTACCTCATACGTGCGCATTTTCTGGTGAAAAGATTCCAGAATAGTTTTGTGGCTTATTTTCTGTTCCTTTTTTTCTTGTTTGTATTTGCCGATAAGTTCTTTTATTTCTTCTATCTGAGAGACTAATATAAACACTTCCTGTGTTATCCCACCTGCGCATTTTGCTCATTGACATATTTGAATAATGCATAGTTTTCCTCCTGTGTCTTCCGAAACTTTTCAACAATATTCTCAAGTTTAGTTTCCCCAAGAGCCTGCTGGATTCTGTGAAGAGCCTCCTCCTCAGATGCAAGCTTCTGAATTTGAAGGTGTTTTTCATTCCTCGCCTTCCTCTCTACAAGTTACACCGACATTCAGTTAACTAGTCGGCAAATCAAATTTCATTCTGTAGTTATCTTTTAAAAAACGACAAGGACTGTGCCTTACACATTTGTCCATATCCTAGGTTATATTTACAATGAATCTCTTTGTTAGTTTTCCCGAACAGCTTGTAAAAACGCGTGCTCGTTTGTAGCTCATCAGGAGTGTCTACTCATGCAAAGACGACCCTTACAAAGCGTAGTCTAAAGTATTTCCTAGTTATTTTTAACTAAATTGTCAGCAAGTAAATTCTGACAATGGAAACTTCATGTAAGGCCCTAATTGGAGGCTATAAACAGTATCCGTTTATTTTTTTCTGGAGGCTAAACCCCAAATACGTTTGAGAAAATTCGAACTTGTTGTATGCTTATAGAATCGTTGAAGAAATGGTTACAGTTTGCGATGTTCAATGTAAAGCAATAAACGCTGCTAGATGACCAAAATTAAACTAATCGATAGAGAGGTTTCATTCAAGCATGCATCTGATAATTGCTGATAATAATTAAAGGCATTCCGATGACTGTCATTTAGTTCCCCCTTTGAGTGAGTGCTTTTAGGTTTCGAAAGTCCGAAATGCTTGTAGGTCAAGTAATGTTGATGGGCATAATTAAAATGGGTTTTTTACTTAATTGTAGAATCTTCTGATACATTTGTCGTTAGAAAAGTTCACAATTTCTGCCCGAAAACTAGTCAATGCGAGGCAAGCAAAAACGTAGAAACCTTTTTTGATTTTGGCAGACTCTGGAAGTTCGGTCGATCTTTCCTTTCCCTTCTCTTGCATAAATTTAAATAGTTGTTTTTCGTGGTCAATATTCCGACTTAAGTCCCTTATTTCACTCTCAAAGAGAGAGCTTTCTCTTTCATTTTTCTCAATGTAAGCTGCGCACTTTTTGCGTGCCTCCTCCCTTTGAATACATAAATATTTAAAAAACCGAACCTCTGCTCATATGCTTCCAGAGCTGCTTTTATTAACGTTGACTTGTTCAAATTGATCTGCTTTAGCGTCCTTTGCAATTTTTCCAGTGCCTTGGAATATATATGACGTTGGTTGCGAATATTCCCAATAATAGTACGTTCCCTGTTGTTCTTTACTAAAAGCTCCCCGAGGTTTTTGTTGGTCTGAAAATAATTTTCAAGTCACACACACTTTCTCTAATTTATTTTCAATGATTTGCTTTTTAGTCTTCAGTTTTGCCTCCAGGTCAGCAAGTGAAAGTGTTTCTTGCGAGCAAAGCTTTTTCAGACGATTTTCGCATTTTTTGATCTGAAGATATAAGAATCGTAATGCTATTTACATCAATATCTAGTGCAAGCGATATTTGCTTATGTTGTTCCATTTGGCGGAGCAACTTTTCGTAGGCATCTGCCGACGATTTAAGTCCGCCAAGAAGCCTTGCGTCTTTTCTCTTGTTCTCGTCACTTTCGATTATTGAAAGTTCAAGTCTTAAATTTTCATTTTCTTGTTGAAGCCATTTAAACTCATTCCTAAAAGATATCGTTTTGCCACTTAGAGTACTCGCATTTTGCCAATTGGCAATTTGTTTGGTTGATGTATTTAATTCTCTCAAGTTTTGCAACACGCAACTGGGATAAAAGTTTTTCATATTCCTCCTGCAAAGCATTATCGGCATTGTCATCATGATCTGAGATTGGCGAAGCGGATCGAATCATTTGAAAAACGGACAGCGTCTGTTGTTATGTCTGAAGGTCTTATTAGCTGCCGAAGTTGTTACCTAATTAGATCTTTGATGGATTATAACACCGCTTGGGTTTTTTGATTTCTTCAAGTCTGATCTTTCTTAAAATGGTCAAATACCTGGATAGGTGTGTCTAAACAGCCAATTACATTGGGTTGATCGGATATTACAGCGATTTCGGGAAAATAAAAGACGTCTTGCGAGTCGGCTTACAGGGATTTGATCCGTCAGGAGGGCTGTGGTCGGAAATCTTGTTCCTACAAGCAAAACAAGTAAGGCATGCCGTTTCATACTTCTGTGCGAGACGTTCAAATTCCCTTCAGAAATCGTTGAACCTTGCGCAGCGAGAGTTTATTCATGTTATACGGACAATGCAAATGTTTACACCGAAAATAATTAAATCCATCCTACTATGGTTGTATAGATTGAATTATACTTAGCAGCTGGAGTTTTTCATCCAAGCGTGTTTCATATGTTTTGCGCCACCAAACCTTTTGGTCCCATCACCTTTTAGAATGACTAATTCAAATAACTCCACTATAAAGGCCTAAGTAACGCAAATAAACTTGCTTCATCCTTTTATGCGGGTCGAGTTTTGTGGCTTCATAGCACAAATAATTTTGCTCTCGAGGACATGAAACTAAGATTTTGTCCTATTTTTGCCCTCAACGTTCTCGAATGTCGATATGCCTTCCGTGTCCTATTAAATACCTTTGGCCATGGTAGGAGTGAGTGTTCAGAGTTGCGCTTAGAGACATTTCACTTGAGATGGATCAAGTATTTTGTATACTGATAAAGGTTAACTGGCGAGCAAAAAGTTTTTATGGGTTAGAGGACTCGATGCTGGCTTTTGATTCCTTTTTTCGCACTGAGATCATTGGAGAATAGCCAACCTTGTTCTCTGATGTAAGGGTGGTAGCAGGATGGCAGCAAGCAGCTTCATGCCTATTAGCTTACCTTTTCTATCATGCAAAATGGTGGAAGTCCTGGTGAAGAGTGCTATATAGCAATTTTTTAAAGAAAACAACATCTAGCAGAATTATCCGCAGGCTTTTGCAGGGGACGTTCCTGCCTCTCAAATCTGCCAACTTGTCTGGAAGTCTGAACCAGGGCCTTAGAAGAGGGCTTCGAGAGCGATGTCGTGGACATGGATTTCCGCAAAGAAGTCGACATTGTTCCGTACAATCACACTTGACGTCCGGTAGATCCACTGAACTGGATAAAGGCACTATATGCGTGTTTGACCTAGAATACTACCCTAACCAATGGTCACTCAAGACACACCTATGACTGAATGTGCCATCATCAGGGACTTAGGTTTGAGCTGCACCTATAATCTAGAGCTCTCGCCACACGCTGACAGAATTACGACCAAAACTGCAGAGATTTGTGGCCTTATTACTCAAAATTTCTATCTTCTTTATACTAAATTAAGACTCCATCCAATGCATGTACTTCACATTCTTGAGGATTTTGTCCATCCTTTGGTTTGATAAACGAGGCTAATCATTCGAAAGTTGGAAATTTTGAAAGGTATTTTACTGGAAAACTCTTACGTACGTTGCCTCCAAATATTTCCCACTCAGACGTCAGTTAAGTGACCTTAAATGTCCGTGGATTCGATGACTAGAAGTAGTCTTCTGCCTCCTCTTTCGCGTTGATAATAGTTCAAATCTTTCTCGGAATCAGCACTTTACCCTGTTAGTCGACCATAGAATTTTCTCAATTCTTTCTTTATTATGCCTCCTTCCGCTTCCTTCACCTGTAGGCGCTCTCTTTTTCCGCTTTCGGGTGTAGTTTCCTTTGGGATAATCTTTGATAGATATAAGATCATCAGATAGTCCACATACTTTTAGGTGAAGGCCGCGTATTTATCTGAATAATGACTCAATTAAACTTTCCTTTTCCTCGTCCTTCCCAGACAACTTTCGTTATGACATTGAGAAAGGGCCATCGGAAATCTAGGACGCTGCCACCAAACTACCGTATCCGCTCACGAATCCCTCTCTGTGTGAGGTGTCGCTTTCCACGTTCTCGCATCAGGAATTTCGCTTTCTTCGATTTTTCCAGTCTATGCATTGTATCTTTCACAGAACGCGATATGCCTCCTGAAAAATTCTCGCAAATGACAGGCGAAGGGCTAACTTGACGTGCATGCTCCAAGCTGCTTCCGTTTCACATATCGCCGACCCCCAGTAATAATTCACTCTGGCCTCTGAGTTTCCGTGCTCTCATCCCGCTCGATGATTTTCGCGGTTTCTGATGTCGTCTCCTCATTCGAATCCAAGCTGTCTATTGACGATCTCGGCGGAATCCACCGTTTTCGCCCTCTTTGGTCGGCCGGCAAAGAGGTGTCAGGGTCGCATTCCCTCCTACCATTTGATGTCCGCCTCAGCCTTTAATGCACAATCCTCGGATGGACTCTAAACGGACTGTGATCGACCGCGTCTGGGTTCTTCTTGTCTCGTCAATTTGAGTAGGATAGTCTCAGTCACTTTAGGAATTATGCCTTGATGATGTCCGTTTCAAATTTCTTATACACTGCCACATGCAGGCCAACCCTGTCCGACCCACATATTTACATTTGTAATAACGACAATTTTTCACCTTAAAGGCTAATCAACCCATATTCATCTTGTTTTTTTTGAAAAAAAGAATTTTTTACAACCCACTAACCGTTTTTCCTAAGTATGTACTGAATACTGTATTTCTACTCGTTCTGAAATTCACTGGAATATTTACTTTTGCTTGCTTTTATAGCACCCTATGGGGAACTTAAAAGTACAGTTTATTATTACTTATATTGTTTTGATTGGTCAAAAATAGCATGTCCATATCGAAGATGAAATGTCAGGCTGGGTGTACATGACTAGTGGCGTGCCTCAAGACTCAGTTCTCGGACCCCTTCCTTTCATTCCTTATGTTAACGACAGCCTTCAAGAGCTTGTCTGCGGTAAAATGATATTTGCCGACGACGTTATGATCTGACAAGTCATTGAGGATCCTAGTGACCAGAGAGCCCCTCATGATAGTTTACCACGACTTGTTTTGGTCAAGCGGTGTGAATGTGTGCAGTCTATGAGTTACAATTACCGAGTCAAATCTCAGGTTGTAAGGAGACAGAAGGCGCCAGAATGGGGCGTTTAATGTATACAGAACCCTTGAGTCGTCCTCCCAGGCGACAGCGGCCATTGGTGAAGCCAGTGCTGGTGTTAACTGCAACCAGTCATGCCTGAGGGTCTGTGGGGCAGCGGTGGCAGCCGCTTTTGCTGGCCCGTGGGCCAAACTCAAGTTGTGTCCAGTCAGTGTGTATTGAATTTGCCGAAGAGTGGTGTCCCAGCGGCTTAGGTTGTGGTTGCAGGGGGAAGGTGCGTTCAAGCGGCCTTATGGGCAGCTGCAACTGTGCGGAAGCAGGTATGTCCGAGCTGTCGGTCGTGTGACTTCGGATATGAGCTTCTGGGTTGGCTTACTGGAAAGGGTGAATGACTTTGAGGCGGCGAGGTCTTGAACAATGACGCCAGACCGCTCATGATGGTTGTCTGCTACAGATTGCAAACGTGGTTTGAGGAATGGCTTCTGGATTTCAATGTGTATAAGTGTGCCGTCCTTCATCTGCGTTCAACCAACTGTAATTCAAATGAGGGCATATCACCTGAAAGGCATTACTCTTCCCGCAGAATCTTCGCAGAAGGGTCTATAGTGTGGCCTCCTCCTGTTGTTTCAACTTGACGGCGGCTTCTGAAGCCATCCGAGAAAGAATTTGGTCGCTTCTATAGCGAGTAGCCTTATTTTGTTTAGACATTAGCCTTTGACGGGGGATGTTTTGATCCTTCATATGTTCTCCCCTGTCCCACACGTACATTTTTCATTCCATTAATGAGGATTTTTTCTCCTTAAGTACTAACGAATTACGCTTTACGTCTTTTTCAATAAATTTTCAATGGCGCTATTTCGACCCTCTGTCACTTTTAAATGTCGGACGGCCTATCATAAATACAAATTAAAAACTGTACAGGTATGCTTATTCCGTCCGAGGTTAATTTGTTAAGTTTGCTTGGAATGTCTTTTAATTTACAGTGACAGTATCTTCGTAGGTGTCAAGTGGAATTGGTTGTTTATTTGCTCACGAGGGTAATCTGCAATTTCAACGGCTGGATAGGCCACCGCCTCGTCATCTGCAAGATGAGTCACCCACGCCAACCCCCCCAAGTGACCACAAGTTAAGCGAATACCGGATGAATTAAGTGTTGTTCCGTTAAATTGGTCCGCCGCCGCTTATACAGTAATAATCGAACGGCCAGTCGCCTGTAAGAAATGCAGAATCGGGGCGACAACTCGGCCTTGTAGACGCCTATTGGCGCCAAATATGGAATGTCCCCCACTCCGTCGCCTTGGATTATTTCGGTGGTGCAAAACGTCATTATTAGGACTGGTTCGAAAGCAATAACAAAAAGGCCTGCAACCTGTCGGCCGGGAAGAATACGTTGCGCAAAGCCTACGTCAACTGACGAGCCGACGCAAAACAGCGGCCTACTTCAGACGTCGCCTCTTGATACAACAACGAGTATGGACTACTTAGAGTCCGTGGTAGAAACGCAAGGCTAGTAAAATACATGAATATGCGGACCGTAATTAAACAAAGCAATTTCTTCAAGTTACTCAGGACAGTTTACACCCCCATATTCTGGTCGGCTATGCTATCTGCGTCAGTACTAACGCCACTTCCCAAGGCTAATGGCGAACGTCGTTTGTAGACTTTATTTGATTGTCTTCCGGTGACTCGTGTATCACGGGCATCGAATTTCGTTCGAACGTCTCCCGAGAAGAAAAAGAAGAATGTTCGCTGTGATTTGAAGCTCATTTTCTCTCTACTCTTTTTAACCTTCTTCATTGTCTTATTCAACAACGGCGAAGCAGATGCAGAGCAGACAGAGTACAAACTTCCTCAGGCCCATGCCCAGAAACCATATTCCAAAACGGTTCCAGTATTACAAATGGATCAGAGTCATTTTCGTAAACCTCAGCTCGCTCCTCAAATTCATGCATTTAACCCAAGCTTTTTCCGATTCGAATTTCCCGAACTATCACAAAGATGGTTTTAAAGATTCTTCAGCAGTACCTAAAATACGTATTCCCATGACTGAAAAGGGGATGTAATCGTTGGAAGACTTTTGTTAGTCCGACGTTTCCGATTTACGTTCAAACTCACCATGAGATAACTTTTCAGACAGTTCTCACAATAGTTAGGAAAAGAATAACTTCCACTTTATTCCGTCTGCGAGGATCGACCTAAATATATAATGAAGTCGGGAGCAGTGGTGCCAAGTACGGCAAATCTGATGTCTGATTTTTTTGGAAATCGAAAAAGATGTAATGTCAAGTTGAACATATTAAGTTTGTGGAACTTCTGGCAATGGTTTAGACGTTCTCCTACAACCTTACCATGTCGTTTTATCCTAGGTGTGACGGCGGACGCTTGCTCAATCATGGCATAGCAGACGCATAAAATCCCCAAGACCTCTTACTGACGTACAGACTATATGGCCTACTAAAACAATGTAGGTAGGAAGGATTTGTGGTTGTCTTGTTGATTATGTCTAGAACTGTTTTGCAGGTGTGATGTGTTGCATCATGAAAGTGGTTCTTAACCGGTGTCCAACCTTCTTAAGTGGCTCCACGAAGTCAAGGTCTGCCTAGCTGTCAAACCCCATTAACCGCCTTCACCGACGGTCTAAACCAGTTGAGGGTATCCGATGCTTTGTATCTTCACACCCGGTAATTTTGCTCCTCCATCCTTCATTCTATTCCCTCTTCGCTTTCAAAATGTCCTACGGAGAGTGTGACATGCAACCCAGAAGGAGACCCAGGTTAACTTGGGTGGCTCTCCCACCAAACCAGATCGTGACTCATAGTAAAGTTCGGTAGCTGTCTGGAATAGCAGGCCTATTTGAGAATAGTCCTGCTTGCCCCTCGAGGAGGAAGGGACTAGAAAAGGTATTCCAACGTAAAGCTGAGATCATGTATGCTAACCAAGGCTCACAAATGTAGAACTAGCGGTCAAAATTATTAAAAAACAGCACCCCCCGTCCAATCTCCAAATATCTCCTCACCAATACATGCACCAAACATGAACCCGTCTCTCATCACCCACCGAAAGCACGGAACCGGCGACTCTCATGCATGTGTGAACCTTGCTCTTTGACTCTTTCGTCACGTGGCCTCTATAACACTCTTGCTTATAGGCAGAATGGTATTACCGACAAAGACAAGGGAGACTGGAATGGCCATTTCTGGCTTATTAGCCGTCGTCAGCCAGCCATACCCAAGCCCGAAGTGTGCAACACCCGAGCCTCGAACTCGCGACCTGTTGGTTTAGAAGTCAACGCCTCTACTCACCGGGCCACGAGCCCGTTGCCTTGTCGGTTTTCGATCGGGAATATACTATGTTAGGGGGGCGCTCACCGATCGTTCATACGGAACTCACTCGTTCCGTTGTGCCTTATGGACTCTCTCTCGAGCCCAACCAGCAGCCGCACAGCGGCGCATGATATATAGGCAGAATGGTATTACCGACAAAGACAAGGGAGACTGGAATGGCCATTTCTGGCTTATTAGCCGTCGTCAGCCAGCCATACCCAAGCCCGAAGTGTGCAACACCCGAGCCTCGAACTCGCGACCTGTTGGTTTAGAAGTCAACGCCTCTACTCACCGGGCCACGAGCCCGTTGCCTTGTCGGTTTTCGATCGGGAATATACAATGTTAGGGGGGCGCTCACCGATCGTTCATACGGAACTCACTCGTTCCGTTGTGCCTTATGGACTCTCTCTCGAGCCCAACCAGCAGCCGCACAGCGGCGCATGAGATCCAAACGGCCCATCGCCCTTTGTGAAAACTGGTGTGTTGTGTTGTAGACAAAGTCGTGTGTGTGGCATGCGCAATTATACTCTCTAGTTCTGTTAGCCACCGTACCCAATCTCCACGACAGTTGACTGTTCGACTGATGCCTGTTTGTGGAAAAAGAGTGAGATCGACCCTCTAAGCGCCGCTATGAACAATCTGATGCGGCAGGTCAAAAGACGTAGCTTGGAGGGCTGACAACTGATGGAATAACTGGGTCCTGCCTCAGGACGGACGGTCATGCTGGAAGGGCTCCTTCATTATGTGGCCCTTATGTCAGTACCACTATGTTGGGGGCCGAGTTGCCCCCTTTCATGCTATGTGCGATTCTTGTCCTTTTGTGAGTGGACCACGGGGTGTGGTGACACGCCTAAGCGCGGGCGCAGGCCGTGCCAGTCATCGGCATCTGATCCTGCCTACTCTCTTCTTGACTCTTTCTTGACATCGGGTTCAGGAGGGCGAGTGAAGAGGAAGTCTGCCATCACTATAAAAAAAACTCGCATGCAAGTCATCGTTTTTGCACTCACCTTGCTGTGAGACGCACGATTTACATTGTCGGATATGACAGTCAGACTGTCAGGCCAATTTTCATAGCAATTGGGACGAGCATATCCCGTGTCGCGATGCTTAAACTCACTTCCAACCTAAAAATTGTGGGTTGATTTAAACACCTCTTGGGCACTTTCGGTCTGTTCTTAGCAGAACAGCCAAAACCGACAAGAAATGAATTTCTTGACATCAGGTCCTTGTGGGGAGTGGGAGAGAGTGCGGTAGATCATGAACAAGTCCGCTCTCAAAATAAACCAATTTGCGCGCAGGTCACCATGCCTGCTGCACCATGCTGTGGAGTACACGGTGGACGCCGTTGGATGCGACGGTCGAAGTATCATTATCTTTAGGGTAAATGGATACCATACTAACAGCACAGGCATTAGCTAAATGCCCATACACGTGTGTTTCGCAAATATTCTGCCGCTTTATGACAGCTGCGAGGGGTCCGGATCATCATTGGGTCTCCCAGAGTTCCCTGTCTGCTTTCTGGTGGATAATCGAATTTAGAAATTTTTGCTCTTTAATTTTCATGGAAATTAACTTTAAACTTGGAGTAAATCAGTATATTCTAGGTCTACAGGCTCAGACCGAAGTTTTTACGTATGAATATTTTGTCCCGTCGTCATCCGCTGTGGCTTATGCACTTCGACCCAAATATTAATAAACAAAAATTTAGGTCTGGACCTATAGACCTAGAATATACTGGTCTACTCCAAGTTCGCAGTTAATTTCTGAGGAAGAAA